CCCAAATCATCGGTGAACAAAACTGCGGCAGCTACAACCACTGTACGACGAGTACGCGGTTATTACAGCTGACAATGATGATGATGATGATGGTGATGGTGGTAGTGGAGTTAAGAGCAAGAATTGAAGAGGAGTGTGCACCAGTGACGCTGGAACATGTTAAACTTGCTGTGTCTCACATCTCATACCGCCCCCAACTTGTTATAGAAGAGAAAAGCGGTTTATTTCAACATTTTTCGTCATGTTAGTTTGTTTGCCGTAAACTTCCGTAATGCAAGTATGTTCGCATAAAAAATAATAAATGTTTAAATTAATGTTAAAGTTTTAGCATGAGTATTATTTTTTGCGTTTTTTATGAGACACTCTGTATTGGTATTCCTTTTACCTTCGTGCGGCTGCATCTCATATCAGGGACTAAGTAACCTCCGTGAACGACTGTCCTGAGACTGACCAATTCCATTTTGGCATGTAGCGGCGTTATAGTAGGTTGTACAAGTAGTCAGTCGTCTCAGCGACACAAGTTTACTCAGGGCAACTAAAGAGATCATTCCCAAGGCTGGACTATGGATATTGAGGGTATGCTGCAAATAACCTGGAAACGACACTTCTCATAAGGCGACTGGACAATCTAAGAAGTCACCCACCTTATCTTTCCAAGTTTCATTCGCCTATATCGCTGTGCTGGCAAACGTCGGTACATCCGATAAAACCGAAGTCAATTTAATCACCCTGTCTGATGTAATTAGTGCAACAATTTCGCCTCCTTTATCATGCCGTAACAGATGGTATCGTTTCGGCATTGGGTTTATATGGCTCGGTGGTTAAGGCGCGAAATTACTGACTGGAAGGTCCGTGGTTCGAACCCGGCCTCTGCAAACCGACTACTCCTGCCTCGGTTTGGGTGACCTGGCAGTATCCCAGCCCTCGTGCTTCCTTCAGCTTGAATGGCTTCGAAAGAATATTGCAGCTGAACGAAGTTCGGAGATTTCACACACCTACGTCCGCACTGGTGATACTCGTCAGTCCGGTCACTTTCAGATTGCTGAATTTGAGATCTAAGGTTAAAACTCCCTGACTGGAGTGAATAGGGAGACACTGGACAGTTCATGTACTCTCCGTTTGAGTCGGGATGGAAGTAAATTACATCTGTCAGTCTCTTTCACAATACCTGTAGACCTTTCGCTCGTGTGGTTTATGATCGCAGATTTCACACAATCAGCTGATGTCTGACTTAGTGCATGCTGATTCATGGATCGAACATCGGGATGCCCCGACAGTTGCGTGGGGCCTTCCAGTTGGTAGGAAATCTTGCGTGGCTCCCTTGCGTCTGACGATGATGGTTAAATTCCAGCATGCGTTAGTATACAATTAAGAGAGACCGTCACATTTGCGAGCTAGCTTGATCTCAGTGGCTAAAGCGCGAATTCGCTGATCAAAAGGTTCGTGGTTCGAACCGGACCTCTGCCCTCGTCTTAGCCCCCGTACTTTCTTACGTTTGCATGGCCTCCACAAGCCGTAAGGGTGCTGCAGCTGAAGGAACTTTATCACTCATTATCACGATTTATCTTACGACACTCTGTATCCTTTAACCTACCAAACAAGTACTTTTTCAAAAACATCCATTTGCAAATTGAGATGGTGTTGACGGAAGACTTGTCTAACACTGATCATAATAGCTTACAGATTATTCGTCGACATTATAAATTTAATTGAAACATACTACGATGTGTCACACTGTCAGAGTCGAATTTGGACTGTTGATGACTTTTTGGTACACAAACAACGAAAGGGAAAATCGTTTCTACAAAGTGTCTTAGATCTTACCGAAATACACTCATTTGCAAACATATTTGGTTTTGCGAGAGGCTCACCTAGAACCCAGCTGAATCTCTCATTTATGGTGTTTCCAGGCAACTGAATGTGCTGCACCAGGCCATCTCATGTTTCAATTATTACGATATTCCAGATATCTTGATAAATGTGTAGACTTAATACACTACACATAAGGTCACTGACAATGCTTCGACAGCCTATGACCGTTTTCGCTCTTCTTGGGGCTCATCAGGTAGGCGCATTTGCCGAGTTTCCGTCAACCTTACGTTCTAGTTGAAACCAAATCGCACGAAGATAGCGGAATACACTCATTTGCAACCTATTTGGTTTTGACGGGATACTCACCTGGAACCCAGCTGAATCTCTCGTTTGTGATGTTTCCAGGCAACTTAGTGTGCTGCGACAGATCTTGTTCACGAACTTTACTGAAGCAAGTGGATCGACGAGTTTCATGCCACTTAAAGGAGGGCTGTTCGATAGGTTCCATAGTTGAGCCACTCGATGCACTCATGCACCGCTAGCGCAAAACCATGTTTTCATGATAAAACCGCTTTTCCAACTAGTGGAACTAAAGAAGGCTTCTACCGGAGACAGTTTTTTCTTGCCAGTTACCCACCACAGAACTTTGGTGATGGAAGCACCGATTAAAGTACCAGATCAGAGTGCCCCATGTGAGCCTTCCAAGCTTACCTGTCAGCGATGCCTGACTTGGCGAACAGAGGACGATGCACATTCCCCATGTCTACTGTGTGCGGGAATAAAGTGCAAAAAAATACACCGAAGTATGGATCTTTCCAGAAACAGGTTCTATATCTAGACAGGCCATAACAACAGTCCGTGTTAGCCATCGCCTGGTGCGCAATCTCTATGAAAAGAGCCCAGATAAATTCATCTTATCGTGGGAGGAAACAACCATTTTTTCAGTTTCATACTACTCATGAGTAGATTAGAGTTGATCCACAAATTACCGGGTGTGGGATAAGCACAGCACTAAAAGAGCATGATGGGATCCACTAAGTTTCGATCACACCCTCGCATGAATGTAACTGGAGTGCAGGGAACTAACGTGATCGTCAGTTTTCACCAACCCCACTGTGAGTGATAAAACCTCTTTTCTCTCTAGACTTAGCCCAACCAAAGTGCTCTTACAGGATGGCGTTCTGTATCTCACGCGAAAAAACAAAAGGAAAAACCAGCTGATCACCTCCGATATACCTATCAGAGCTTTTTTTCTATGGAATACACTACTCTCATGAGGGACTTCTTGCTGAATCATCTGGAAACTACTGTTCGCTCTTCGACATCAACAACCTCAAGATTATTACCTCTGCCAGGTAAGGTAGAGGTGCGACACTTGAGTTATTCAAGAGAAAAAAACTAATAAAACGGTTTTCGGTGGAAATGTGGCCGTTTGTCCATCAACAAAAACACTGGCTGACAACATAACTGACAGAGATTCATTTCTCCACAAATCCATCAGCAAACCTTTGAATAGTGTGTTCTTTCAAGTAAGAAAAGTAAGAAAAAGAAAGCGTTCAGCTGTTGCACCCTTCCGGCGCCTAGCTGCCATGCCACGTGAAGGGAGCACGAGTGCTGGGATACCGCCAGGTAACCCAAGCCTAGACAGGGGAAGTTGCGAAGCAGAGGTCGGATTCGAACCACGGACCTTCCGGTCAGTAAATTCGCGCTCTAACCACTTGGGCCGGGATATCTCGAATATCATGCCAAATAAAACATGAGGTGGTTTCTTTACAATATGTTCAGTTGATGTATATCTGAAACGTGGGATTCAACTGAGATCCAGGTGATTCTCCATTTATTATCATTCCTGGTTTTCTACGGACGTCTCTTGCTAGACTAGTGGACAGCTGTCATTGGGGAATACCCAGTACTTTTTGGATTTTAGTTACGGGAGTTCGTCCAATTTGAAGAACGAATGTACAGTGTGTTTTTGTGCTTGGTGTTTGTACAGTGATCGTGCGGGGTGAGATGGACTAAGTGGTTGGAGCCCGAATAGGGTTCGTATTTCGACCCCGACTTCTGCCTCTTGACTTACCCTGTTTAGACTTTGGCAACCTGACAGTATCTCAGCTCTCGTGCTTCCTCCGGGTGGCATGGCAGCTAGGCACCGGAAGGGTGCTACAGCCGAACAGACGTGTGAGAGCCTGACCAATCACGTTTTAATGTACAAAAGACGTTGATGAGGTTTACGGCTTCTAGGTGTGGTCTTTTTAATAACTCTTCTGGTCTCTGAATTACTCATGGATACAGATGAAAGGAAGAAGGCCCTAGCTGCGGAGTTATTAATTAGTAAGTGCCAAATGAACAGTTACAGAGTATTGGACAGGGGAGCAAAACTCTCATGCATTATGCTTACGAAACTGAATATCCATCTTCCCCGTGAACGCGTCTTCCTGAACTTTCCTGAATATTTATTGACTGTTACTCAATTGCAAGTAAATGCTACAGAGCGACTCCACAAATTCCTTAAAAGATCTCACTTTTCAAGAGACACAAAGCGGATTTACGAGAAAACATACTACTTGCATGCCCCCCATCAGTAGTACCACCGTTGCACAGGTAGTTTGTCCGCGGTTGAGGATTTACCCGGTTGAGTATTGAATCACAATCTACCTTTCAGCCCAATCAGTCGTAATCGGCTGTGATTAGTAGCTCAAGTGAGCACTTCTGACACAATATACGGCGAGTTTGGGTTCCAGAAATTGACCAATCCCAACCGACGATAAGAGCGTCTGTGAGCTCCCTACCCCATAATTTGTTGACCAGCTACATCAATGTGTCTATCACAGCACGTATGAATAAGATTTTGAATTCTTCCCAACAAAGAATGCTTTACATTCTCACGCATTAACGGATCCTTTTTTCTTTACACCCACTGCTCCAATCTAATGATCAATTATTTAATCGTTTTTCTGCTTAATTAGATGGTGTTAGCTGTTTGGACAGACCCAGACAACAGGGCAAGCAGTCCATCTTGTGTGGGTGCGAACGGGTGCAGTACCAATCCAATCGCACGCTTGAGTGACCTTGAACTAACCAGGTACATACGAGCGGCCTTGAGCACACCAAACATCCACATGCCCGTTGCGTTGAAACACCTCGTTTCAATCACGGACGAGGCGCGGTTGAATTTCTTCACAGATTCTCGTCAAACAGAGTCCGGATGGCTGAGGTCTGGGGAAGTGATTGGATTGTATGTGTGCCTATGCGTCCTTACAACAAGTAAGTCATCTCTAAGTAATATCTGTTGTCCTAGAATTTTCTCCATTTTGGGAATCTGTTTACCCTGAGTAATTACTCCAGTAGGCTGAAGCATTGAGACCCTAAGATCCAATTTATGAAAGTCGCCCGAATACTGACTGTTGTTTGGGCTCAAGATGAAGGTAGTAGTCTAGCCGTTTTCATCAACAGTGAGAAGTTTGGTAGCTGGGGTACATTTATTGATTTTTGACCAGGCGGCTGACGATCTATTTGCCGAGCCTTACAATTAGCTCGCGGAGCTTTCTCATCAAACGAGCATACTCCGTCAGTTCACTTTTGGATGGTACTTCCTCCTAACGTATATGGACTCACGAAGCTTTTGAAGAGTGTCCTTTATCTATTCTATCTCTTCCTCGTGCTCTCATTGGTCCGTTCTTGATTTGTGTTACGCTGTGGTCTGCCTTTTCTTGATTTGATCGTTTGTCCCAACACCTTACACTGGTGGTGATTTTATTTCCTTGTTCCGACTGGCCTGTTTCCTCCGTCCGTCAGTTAAAAAAGATGCCTCCATTTGGTCTTCTGATTTATCGGGTGGATGCGACTCAACTCAAATTATTTGTCCGTTTAAGCTAAGCTTTTCAGCTTCTTCCGTGACTTTCTCACCTGGTTTATCGTGCAGTTTTTAGCTCCATAGTACCTGTGCTCTCTTCTTCAGAGTGTTTGATAAACTGCACCAGTTTCAACGTTTGTGGATTGTTTCTTCTGTGGTGTATCACACTTTCAGAGATTTGCTCTCTTTCTCACTCACAATTCAGCCAATACGTGAGCGCCTTTTCAGTCGAGTTCACGCACAGAGATGAGTGAAAATAAGTGGTGTCTTTAAGTGGCAAGCTAGCAATCAACATTCTATCGAAGAGTACAGAACAATGTCGTATAAAAGGTCTAATGCAAAGCTAAAATGGACAAACAGGAAGAAAGTTTACCACCAGAACACATGAACACAAGTTTGTTGCTCATAGGTAGAATCTGCTTTCCTTTATCCCCGTGCACCAGGAAGGAGTTGAAGGTGACTCTACTGACTCAAACAACAGGGAAGTAAGAAGGCAAGTTTCGTGGTACACCACGAAAGAAGCAACAAAAATGCTGAACGTGACCCAGTTTATCGACCATTAGAAAGAACTGAGTGCCAGCACTTCAGAGCTGGAAAATGCATAACAAACCAGATGAGAAACTCACAAAAGTAGCAGGAAAGTCCAATTTAAACGTACAATTAAATTTGCCCAGAAAATGCTTCTACCCGACGAATCAGAGGACGAAGTTGAGAGCCTCTGTTTAGCCGGCGTATGCAAGGATATCGGCTATTAGAATGGAGAAAATGGGACGATGCAAGCTAGCAATGGGAATTGAGAACATCAGACCACAACGCAATGCAAACCGAGGACGGGCCAATCGAAACCATGAGAAGAGACTTCTAAGAGTGAAAACCGATCAACCAATCAGATTGACTTAAGGTAAATCACAAGGCAGCGCACAAATTACACCTGGACCAATGAACCTCCATGAGGAAGCTGTCTCAAAAGTAACCAAGTCAGGAGATACAAAATACATTTCGAAGGCTATGTAAATTCACACATGTCAGGAGGATGTACTCACCCAACCATGGACTGATGAAGTATGCTGGGTTTGCAAGTTACAGGTAACCAGACATTGCCATCTCACCGGCAATCCTGTAGAATTTATCTTGAAGCGTCCATTTGAAGTCGCTTCTAGTCAGTGTCCAAGTTTTCGGTCACTCACTTTGCTAGAGCGTCTGCAAGCACAGCTGCTTCCGAATATCCCGAGATTTTCTGAAACCTTGTTTTCTGATATTCGACAATGAGCCAGAACCATCTCATGAATCTGATCAACGAATTCCGGAACTGACAATGTCTGAGGTCGTGCTGCAGACCGTTAGCATGCCATTTCTAACATTTGAGCTCAAAGACATGGCCTAGCTAGTTTTTGCCAATCTATTCTGTCAACCGTTCGCGATACTTCATCCGCCTAAGTCTGAATGGGTCTGTTCGCTTTCCTTGTTCGTTTTGAGCGCTATTCGTAATGGTACCGCTCCCACGTGGATTCATTGGACCGGTTGCGACCTCACTTATGTTGCACCCCGTCTTTCTTGCGTTTGTTGAATCCACCAGAACATGTACTTTTAATCGTTCCATTTTGATCGTTTCGTCTTTACGTTTTGCCTGAGAGTTGCGAATCGAATTGCAGGAGATAGACGGCGGTACCGTGAGTTGGACTGGGAACAAATGAGTTTCCTGGTCAAAGACAGTTCAACAAGTCTACAGCCATGCACAAGACTTCGCACTGACAGTGGAAACCATCATTAATCGGTTACCACAAAGCGGTTGGAGAAAAAAACACCGAAGGAGTCCACTTGCATCAATTCAGTTTCCATACTTCTTGTGGATGTTGGATGATGGGAAGGTGAACTAGTTTGTTCACGGACAAAGTATTGAGAACAAGTTGAGTTAACTCAACAGTAGAGACTGGATTCAAAATTGGACGGACCTCAGTTGAATTCGTGGTTGCGTAAAATCTGGCTCATATTTCGGTTGATTTTGAGATACTACCTACAATCCCCTATTTATCGCTATCTTAATTTGCAAATGGATGTCTGGATGACCAGCTGCGCTGGTCACTGTCGTCTTCCTAGATGGGGATCGCGAGACAGGTTATATGAATGACTAGAGACATTGTCAAACATGGCCCAGTCGCGCCCTCATTGGCGCTCGTGCATCAAAGCTATTGCCTTCAATGCATGGCTCCTTTTCCAACCCCCCACTTGACAGCCCACTGACAATGCTGGATTTATACACCAGTTTATCATCTCCCGCCTGCAGTGTGCAACTATCTACCCCCCCAGTCATCGGTGGACGAAACTGCGGCAGCTACAACCACTGTACGACGAGTACGCGGTTATTACAGCTGACAATGATGATGATGATGTCTGGACCGTTCAAACTGCTGAGGCATTGCGTATTGAGTTATCTAATTCTAGCCTTCCTGGTTTAGCAACAGTAGTCCGTTGTGATTCTGAATCCTATCTTTTCTTAGAATTGAGTTTACGTGCGATCCAAAGAAAGTGGGTAAATTATGTTGCGGAAATCACTGTGAATGTAAACAGTAAAGCGATAATAAATAAATAAATAAATAAATAAATAAATAAATAAATCAGCCAATCGGTCAACCGATTAATTAGCCAATCAGAAACCAATCAGTGGATCAGTTGATTATCCAATCATTTACCCGCAAATCCAACCAATGATTCGTAATCATCAGCCAATCAATCAATCGATCAATCAGTCAATCAATCAGTCGGTCGGTCGATCGATCGGCTGATCATTCACTCATTTGCTTGTAAATTTAAGCAATAATTGACTAGTTCATAAATCCATCGATTGGTTCCAGTCACGCCTTCAACAACTCATCCAGTTATTCACTAACTTACTGCTTTCCAAATGAATAGGAATTCATTCTTCCATTAATTTGTTCAGTCATCATGCGTTTACCGGAAGCCTTTGTTGCGAAATGCGATTCATTCTAATTATTTTTCTCAGTTCCACCGATAGACTTTCCCTCAAGTCTAAAAGTTCTCGTGGTATCAGAAGTTTTTGAACACTGTGAGTGCATAGCCACAGAACGGTAGTAACTCGTTTCGTTACGTGGCGACGGGGTGCAAGAAACCACGTCGTTGGTTCGCTGGATTGCTGACTTAGAAATCACGACGAAAATCGTGATCCCAAGTGAAAACATATCGACTTTGGGGTCCCCCAGTTGTGTTTCGCAGAGAAAGTAGGGCTTCGCTACATCCAGTCGTGTTACTATGAGATGTGAACTACACTCGATTGCAAATGGACTTGGTGTTATCAGGTGATTCAAAGGAGTCCCAATGGGAACCCGGCTTATACCATCGTTCGATTATATGTGCTGCACAGAGACCTTCTCCTGCCGGCGCCATGTTCGAGATATCACTGCATATTTTCTCCACGGAACATACTACTCATAAGTTTGCTGTCGACGAGATTCCAGCAAACCTATGTTCTGTTAGGGAAACTCCAACAGGTGTTATAGCGTCCCACGTTGTGCAGTGGTAGAAAAAATTTAAAAAATCGCTGCCGCTGAAACGTTTTGCATACTGCGCGAACAATTCTACGCAGGAGGCTAGTCAACAGGAAGATTAACGGTTGATTCCAACTTTGCGCGGGTTTGCGTTCGGAGAGGACAGTCTTCGATGGGCTGCCGAACAAAAGTTCATCAATAAGTGGAATCCATTTGAGTGTACAGACAACCTTCATTTCTCGCTTACTGGTCTTTATGTAAACAAGTTGGTACGCGTATAGATCGATGTACTTCAGTGGTTTCCCTGCCGATGGGGAGAATGATGATGATGATGACGATGATGATGATGATGATGATGATGATGATGATGATGATGATGGCGATGATGATGATGATGATGATGATGATGATGATGATGATGATGATGATGATGATGATGATGATGATGATGATGATTACGATTTACTCAAACGAGTGGACCAACCAGCGACCGTCGATGATAATGTTGAAAGAGATGATATTCCTGTGTATTTGTTCTTGTGTAACTTAGCTCTTCGTGATTCACCACGTTTACGTCATAGAACTCGCCTATTGCCCGAATACGTCATTCGGTCACGGTGAAGAAACGTGGGGTAAACAGCTGGATTAATTACCAGTAGACAGAACGCTCTGACCCAGTCAACGATTTCCGAGGTCGAAGCACATATTACACGCGATGTTATCTATAGATTGACAGCCATCCTGGGGTTTCTAAGCAGAATCTTTGAATGTTTACAAATTCCTTCCACTATGGTATACCAAAAGACACGGAAGCTTCAGACAGATTTTTATGGAGACAGAGGAAAGTTATTACAACCGTATCTATAGAACAGGGGCGGAATGTTCCACAAGGTCGTGCTAGAATCTCCATGAGGGGGGCGAGAAACGTCGAGCTGAATATTCTCGATCCAGATTGGCTGGTATACTGACCAATCAGGGTATGCTTTCGTTCGGTCAATAGCCTGCACGTGAGACATCCGTCAAAATGATGTGATGATCGATTATTAGGGACGGCTGGCCTCCGAACACATACGCACACACATTCATGCAAAAATTACAAACAGGTCAGCCTGTTGGCGGTTTCTGTAAGATGATTCATCCCTTAGGAGAAAAATAGTTGGAGCAACTCAGCACAACAGTTAACAGACAGCAGACAACGGACTGACTAATACTCACGTGATGTTGTCACAGCAGGACTAATTTCCGTGATCACTTCGCCTCTCTCGAATCGATGGCTCGTATTCCCAGAACGAGTGTTTCAACGGATATTTATCCGGGGTATCCAGCTCCGATGCAACCTGCTTAGGACGAGAGTTAGAAGCGCTCGGCATGGTCATGGTGGCCAGACGATCTTATGTCGTGGAAACTGTGGCCAACCGGAGAGTTTGGTGCATATTTTGCAATCCTGCTGGATTACGCATGATGCCAGGTGTGCTCGTCATAATCGGGTTGCAAGGGAACTTGCAAAACGTCTCCGTCGACTGGGGTACACCGTCTTCGAGGAGTTGAGAACCCCTACTTCTACGTCGTTCATCAAACCTGACCTAATCGCTGTTCGAGATCGCCGTGCAACCGTAATAGACGTTAGCATAGTCTCGGATGGGCGTGGAGAGATAGTGTGGAATGAGAAGAAGCAGAAGTATGGTGCTGATGAACATTCCCTCGCCATAATCTCAGCCCTACATGCCATCGGTTGTGATATCGACTTTTTGGTTCACCAACCGGTGATCATCTCCTATCGAGGGATCTGCTTTCCTCAATCCGCTAAGGCTGTTATTGGACTGGGACTTCCTAAGGTCGCAGTCAGTGACTTGTGTTTGCTTGCCATTGTGGGCTCCCTGCGTACTTATGACACTTTTATGCGTGGCACATGGCGTTGAAGGTACATTTTTGCCATTTAATCTCACACCAGACCCAGTATGACGGTCACTTTGTGCCTGATGTGCGAGTCTTGACTGTGCTAGCGCATACTGCGCCTTGAAGAGCATTCACCATTGTTTGTCCTTTCTTTGGTTGTTAGTCTTTAGACGCCTGTTCCCATACCAAAATCTTTACATACTTTGGGATTCACCTCATCAGACTGGCACTGTCCTTGGCATGATTTCGAATGAGACGTTTCTCTCTTTTCTCCCATATTCTCCTTTTACTCTTTCGCATTCATCGCTTGCACTCACTTTTTATGTTTGTGACCATGCTCTTCAAAAATAAATGATAATATGAGCACGATAAATGTGTACTCTGGACGAAAGGCTATTATGTACTTGTGGTTCCTGATAACTTGGCTTTCATAAGGAGAGACGTAGATAACTCGTCGAGACATCGTGAAGCGGTTAGCTCCGTTTTCTTGCACTTCCTGGGACTAAATATATTAGCTGCACAATTTGGACGTCGTGTTTTGGTTGAATCAGGCCTCCCAGGGCCATCGAGGAATGGGTGGTGGATGAAGAAGCTTCTACACACTCCTCAAGCTATTACTGTCATCTGATGTCTTCAGTATCATTCCAGAACCAAGTACCTCGTTACCAGAAGGAATGGCCCCGTTTGGACCTGATCTCTCTTAGGTGGAACCACGTTCATCGACCATACATGTATTTTTCTGTTTACATTAGTACAATGGCTTTGTAGACTGGTGATTTTAGACTTACAAAAGGACCCTGCTGTCCTCAGAAGATTTGACGATCGATTTTAGAGGATCTTTGTTTGGCCAATGCTTATGCAAACGCGTTCCAGTGTCGCACGTGACTTCGTCTTATAACCTTTCAATGTATCTAAACGATTCCGACCGCGTTCAAAGCACTTAGCATGTTTCTCATAGTGGGCTTGCCATAACACATCTTTTGGAAGTCTTGACAGGTGGGTCAGTCAGTGGATGCAACCAGGATAGTTAGTGGGTCGAAGAAACGTTCGCCCCTTTAGAACTAATAATGCACGTCCGAGGTACCCTGGTGGATAGATGTAACATGTTCGCCTCGCATATCAGGTATCTGAGATTAATACCCAGACAGGGCCGAAGATCATTATCATCATCATCATCGCCAGCATAACATCAGTGTTCAACACCGATGCTTCACTGCCGTACAACCATGATTTATTTGAAAGCCTTATTGTAAAGAAAAGAGTAAAGGTGGACGGGGAAGGGACTTAGTGCTAGCTTAACACAATCATTCCGAGGTGCCTACACCTCCAGACATTCACTCAGGCAATCTGGATAGAAACTGACAACAAGAACGCCACTGACATCGGTTGGCAGCCATATCTTGTAGTATCTCCAACCAGGCACAGTGAGGATCACGCGGTCCCCATCCTGGAAGGCGAGTAGCACCGACAGCACCCAAAGATATGCACTGCTGATGAGCTCTAATAAGAGCGAAACTCGGGTCCAGTGCTTCCCCTCTTTGATATGGATGACTGTTTAGACGATACTGATGGGAACGTGAATTTCACAGATCCCAAGATTCCGGATAGAATCCAAGCAAAGTTCATAGAAACCTCCTAAAACCACCGGGAATAAGCTATTCCCATCACAACAAACGATTTCGCGTCCAGTAGGAATTTAACTCAGCATTTGCATCTGCTTCGAACTGTCCTTCAGAATAAACTACCGTCTTTGGTTCCACAGCTTTGACGAAAAGGTCAACAACTAGAAGTACTTCCCGTGTTAAAAAAAACAGAAAAAGGTACTTTTCCCCTCGTGAGAGGCCAAGTAGAACTGATGCTCTTTGACATATGGCCCGTGTTTGGAGCGATATGAACTTGCGATGTATAGAGTAACGTCAATCAATTGATCTGGCTGCTTTTTGTCAGTCCTTTGAAACCCAATTGAGGCTACTTCTGACGGTTTGTTCACGTGACCTCTTCGAAAAGTGCCAAACAACATGGTGCCATGCCGCTGAACGTGGTATTTTGAGGCTTTCAGCCGCTTCGTGAACAAATCTAACTGTATTACGTACTGTCACCAAATCTGTACTTAGTACGGGAGACTTGGTACATGAGTGTTGATCTGTTTCTGGATTCTAGGGTGGTCTCCCATGAATTACCGAGTTTCACAACGAGATGCTACAAAGATGTGTAAATGTTGGAAAGACCAGTGTGGGACAGTTGTGAAGATCATGGTAACAATTTAGGTGAAGCTACAATAACCCTTCTGATATTTCTGCAAGCAGATCGTGTACCATACATATATGTGTATATATAATGGATGTTGGGCCGTGTGTACTGCAAACGTTCAGTTGGAAAGGACCTTTAATAAACGAGAGCTTTAGCTGCATTCAGATCAGTATCCTGTCAGAACCAACTTCCTCTGAAAATGCCGAAATCTGTCCAATTTAGATATCGCGATACATGTATATCTTTGTAATGTACTACTCATAAGGTTTCTGAAAGTCCGTCGACAGCCCATGACCGGTTTCGCCCTTCCAGTTCGGGCTCATCAGGTAGGCGCAGTCCCCGGGTTTCCGTCAACCTACTACTTGAAACCAAATTGCATGAAATTGGCGAATATACAAACCAATTTGGAACATCACATTTAGAGCATCACAAACGAGAGACTCAGCTGGGTTCCAGGTAGGTCTCTCGAAAAACCAAATTAGTTTGCAAATGAGTGTATATTCGCTTTCCAATTTGGGTTCAAGTAGACAGTAAAGAAACTCGGGGACCGCGCCTACCTGATGAGCTCCAAGAGGGATGAAAATAGTGTTGAGCTGCCGAAGGGTTTTCAGCAATCTTATGAGTAGTGAATTACGTCCAAATTACTTAATTAGTTTCACAGCTTCGAAGGTCAACGTCGCTTAGTATGGTAGTCTACAATGAAGTGTCTCGCTTTTCTCCGTGTTTGAAGTCACACTAGGCCATTCTGAACCAAATGGGGCAACGATGCGAACAAGTTGGGGTTTCGGGCAGAACGGAGTGAGACACGATTGAACAAATGAGTTCCTGAGAGAGGGTAGACCTTTCCAGCACGGCACTAGAAGAGTGGGGCGTCGAACCGAGTCCAGGGATATCATGGAATGAACTGGAATGTTCTGTTTGTCCCTATCTTGTGTCGCACTGCTTCGTAGTGTGCATAGAAGCGTACAGATGAAATCATTCTGTTAGCACGGATTATCGTTAGCTTGCTCCCTGCAGTCACATCTATTCGAGCTCGCGTGACCGATATTCAGTCACTTTCTATGTAGTCTCGTGACGTTGAACCAATCACATCCTTTATGGATCGGTCGACTCCGGATCAATCGTACTCATTAGTTTTGCCGCTTGATACTCACCGGCCCACAAACCCATCCGCTGCTACGTCTTGGTTACTGGAAGCCTACGGTACTGCTACGAAACTTCCATTTTTCAGCAGATTTATTACAGGTGTGAAAAATGTGAGTGAAGGCTGTGTAGCAGGTGTGAGCGTCGTTCAATGGCCCGTTTAACATTTCAGAAGATCCTATTTGATATGCGATTTTTTCTTTCATCTATCTTCCAAATGAAATTTCCCCAATGCCGTTTTTGCGACTTCAGTTGTCATCCTCTTGGTCATCTTCCTGGTTCTACAACGCGACCCATGGAAGCGGCACGCACTGAAACGTGTTCACACCACTGGAATATGGTGTCCACCAGGTCCATTCCCGTTCAAAGATATTCAGGCAATCAACTCTTCCTATGCAACACAGTCCACCCGACCCGATAAAGTACTCTTAAAACAACAGGACCAGTCCTTGCTGTCCGCCATCGACCCCTCAGATCCAAGAACCAGTACAACAACTACAGAATACCGGTACCAGAATTGTCAACACCCGCTGACAAGTTTGACCAACCCATCGGCTGAAACTTTGGGAAAGAATGATTTCGATGACAAAAGTCTTATTGACAACTTTTCACTTGGATCGGATCCGACTATTGTGAGTATTTGTTGGGCTAAATTCGCCAGTGTTTTAGCCGCTTTGTTCTACGGCATTCTGATTCAACATAAAATCTCTACTACTAATGAGTAGTCACACGCTGCAGGTGTTTGCGAATTTTGCAGGATTTAAGCCGAAATCACTCCCGTTTAAATATTCATTCTCTAATAGCTTATTTGACAATTTTAGGCTCACGACCATGGGAGATGGTACCGGGAATGCAGTGCTAGTGCTGGACATACAAGGAGGTGCGGTGCCACCTCTGACCTGAATACACCCCCAACAAAGCACGCCCGCCGCAACGATGAGAGTTTTCGGTCGCAGCAAGTTTGCTTCTGGATAAGAAGCAGTTAATCGTTTAAATCACACACTTTCAAATACTATTTACGAACGGAACTCTATTTCAATGGGTAGTAATGAGGGAGATTGTCAGAGGTTTTCGAAGAAACTATGGGGACATATCATCGTTTGTTCTATAGCGAATGGGTAGATATGAAGAAATTGACCTCGATAGCATGTTGAAAAATGGAACCGTGTTATAAATTTTCGTGAAAATATTGAAGGAGAACGAACATTTGTTGGTGAAAAACTAGAAGAAATTATCCCGCCCGAATAGCATCCTGCAACAAAGCCTACCCCTTTATGAAGAACACCTGGGCTCTTTTCCGCGGTTGGTTCCTGATTGGACGGCCGTACAAACGTGTCAGAGGCCAAGTCGAGACAAAAAGACAGCTCCAGTGTCGGGATAAACCGTGAATTCGGCCTCGTTTTCTCATGGTCTGCGTCTCATGGTGTCTCACGCCTTCGGTTTTACGTGTGATCAGCCCCATGATGCTTCAGCTTACTAGACATCTCAAAGCGCTGACAGATTTATGAAATTGCGGACATATTTGGAAGGTAACGGTCATCATACTGCGGTTTGCAGGTCAGTTACGCAACGCGTTCATTTAAAGTGACATGAGTTCTTGAGCATAAGTTCAGTCATTGAAACGCTTTGTTCGTCGGCCTGTCCTCAACCAAGTGCTTACCTTAATGGAACATAAGCTCGTGAGTTTTTCAACTTGACGGGGTCCCGAACTCCCTAAAAGTCTTTTACAGGAGTTCAAGCTTCGTGCAAAGGCGGTTTCCAACTTACTTGTGGGATTGTCCTGCCGACTATTTTGAAAAACTTTACTAAACGGTATAACTGGTAATTGCAGCCTTCCATCCTAGCTCAGGTGGAGCGCATCTAAGCCTAAATGTATAAACAAACCCTCCTTGCGGAGAAAGTCACCGGTTGTTCTCAACAGTTCACCGGCTGCATCTCCAGTCACTTTACAATTTCATGTCAGGTTAATGCCTCAAACGGAGTCTAATTACTATTTAAGGTAGGTGCGATGTCGGATGTTTACACGACTGACTCGCACGGCGAGGATAAAATGAGTCTCCAAACTACTCCGATCCGTGTTGTTCACCCGAGGTTGAAGTTAATTGGACCAGGATAACAATGGTTCAGTCCGGGAACACTTGGTGACTGAGACATTCTGAACAGAACAGAACAGAACAGAACAGAACAGAACAGAACAGAACAGAACAGAACAGAACAGAACAGAACAGAACAGAACAGAACAGAACAGAACAGAACAGAACAGAACAGAACAGAACAGAACAGAACAGAACAGAATAAATGGAACTGAGGAGAACTTCCCGGTATCGAACCGATACCATGCGTCTATGAGTTTCTTATGTGTAGTATCTTAGGTCAAGTCATGGGGTACCCTTTATTAGGAAAATATGACTTAATAATACTATAACGGGGAGATGTAGTTGGGTACTTCTTCAAAACCAGGCTTACGCTCTTCCAGGTTTATCAATCAGGCTCAATATCCGAATTTCCATCAACCTTATGTTCTACTTGGATTCAGCTTGTACGGATTTTGTGAAGCATACTCACTTGCACATCGCTCTCAGTTAAAGCTGTAACTCTCGTTTATGATATTCGTTATCCGAATTTCCTAGACACAGACCGCCTCTTGTTCCAGCTCGTATGATATTCCAAGCGTCGCAGGATATTTTGTTGACACAAACACACTACTTACAAACGAGAGATGAGTAGAAGGGAGAGGGTGAGTCAGAAGGGCCTCTCATTATCACCACTATGGTTTGGAAATGAGGAAATTTCGCCAACTTTATACAACTGTATGTCCTACCAGAATGTAAATTTAGAGTGGCACTTATCTGGTGAGCCTCGGAGTGGACAAAACCGGTAGCGTCTTTAGCAAATTCATAAGCAGTGTGTTGTGTCATGGGATTTGCGGAAATATTCAGATGTTTGGTTGTACAATCAATGTGAGTCGATTCCGACTGTGCCACCAGGGGCCAAAAATCTCATTTTACCATAAATGCTACATCAGCACACTACCGCAGCCTCTTGAAGCGATCTTGATTTGTACCGGAGAACTCGCAAGAGTAACTTGCGAACTGAGGCGGAAACCAAAAACAATGTGTTCCACAAGGTCCAGAACGAGCTGGGACCTTACAGATGGCGCCAATTTTTGAAGGTCACCTTAGGTCAGCAGCTAATCAGCAAACCGTCTACTGTACAGCTCAGTCGTGACAAGTTCGTCCATCCAGATTAGGTGATCTAGTTACCGTTAACGTAACTTACTGGAATAGCGATGACATGTTCATTTCGTACGTCAGATGCCCCGGGATTCGAATCCCGGCACGCTGTTGATGAACTATAGTAGGAGTGAAGCTTGAATCTACTGTCTCGCACACATTGATGTGGGTCAACTGAAGTCAGAACAGCTTGTCGGAACTTTTGGAGAAGTGCATAACCAAGAATCGAGAAGCAGAAAGCAAAATATCATTGAATATACCTCATCAGATTCTTGATTTTTCAAAAAAACACCAATGTACTGCATTCAGGGCATGATACGATAAGCTGGTGGTACTATGACTTCAGCCAGGCAAAAGGGAATCGCAGATTGGTATTTCTTTGGATGTAACGCACACACAAGTTTGTTTTTAGACTTTTCCAGCTAAACCATACTGCCAAGTGTGAACACTCACCGGCTGACATCGGCACAGTTCACGAACGTTTCTCTTCGTGCATTTCCTTCCGTTTCGACCTAATAATCCAGCGTTTCGGTTCAGCTGCAATCCGTTCGGCAGTGCGCCCAAAAGGACTAAAAACAACAAAGTTATCTTCAACTTGGGACCTCAACGCGCTTCTGTAATGGCCCCCGTAACATACGTGTTATTCACATGAAAGGAAAAATATTCGTCTCCTTGTCCTTTGATTCCTAGAGTTCGTGAACGAAACTCCGCGCCCGGTGGTTCCAATCCAGCAGCTTCACATACTTTTTTAGTAAAAACCAAAATGTAAGAATTTATTTGTGTCACTAATAGCTGTCAAAACTGATTCTCTTGTCTTTTTTCCTCGCCAGGATCCATTCCATCTAGATATAAACGCTGAGGGTGGAAAGGATGGACTTTTGGATGGAACATTCAAAAACTACCAACATGCGGAAGTTTCCCCGCCCAGTTTCGGCGTACCTCAGGCACCTTTGAAATGTCCCACTCATGGGGGTTGTAGCAACAGGACCGCTTTGAGCTCAGTTGACCCGACAGTTGACGACGCTTCGGAAAAGCGAAATTTGCAACGTAGATTGCGTCACGTGCTTCAGCGACAGGATGGCCTCCATCCTTTATCCCCGAACTCCATTACGCTGTCTAGCAACGTTTTTCAGTCGGAGACCCACCCATCTCATCCCGTTGGCGGAGCTGAATTCGCTTCTCGAAACTCTCAATCCATGGAATATATTTCACCCAGTCCGGGCTCAGATAACCATACATTGGTTGACCGAGGTACAGGCGAAACGCTTCTACATTTGGCTGGTCGGTATAACGGCGGACAGGATATTGTCTTTTCTCTGCCACATCTCATGTGCAGCGATGATTTTGGAGAGAGATGTGCTTGCGTCATGTGGCTCGATCACCACGGTAGAACTGCTTTGACGAACGCAGCTGCAGCCAATGCGCTGGAGACGACAGCTGCTCTGTACCAATTAGAACGCGAGGCTCTAAGTCAAAATCGCGCGCTCTTGATTGGTCAATCGACTGACAAATCACACTTGAGTGCAAAAGCACGCAGGCGTAATAAGCAGTCGGAATTGCGCAAGTCTACACCACTCATCGCTGCCGTTCAGGCTGGCAATGAAGAACTTGTTCGACACTTGGTTGACGAGGGATATCCAATTGTCGGTGTAGATGACTTTGGCAGAAACGTGGTCCATTGGGCATCGGTGACCAATGCGATTGAAATACTCCAGCGTCTAGCTCAGTGCAAGGGTTTTCACCGGTTAGTTAATGCTCGAGACGATTACGACCGCACACCTTTGATGTTGGCTACACGTGAAGGGTGTGAACAAGCTGTACAGTTCCTTCTCGATCACAAGGCAAACGTACTCACAATGGATTGCACTGATAGTGACGCACTGGCCATTGCGAAATCCAAAGGATTCGACGATATCGAAAGACTTCTTCTGCAGCGGCATGCCGAAGGTAATGAAGAAGCCCTGAGACTTACTGACAACCCTCATCTACCGTTTCCGAATGTAACTACTCCACCAGAACCCACAGAGTTGAGTGAATTCTCTGAACTAGGTACGCACAGTACAGGTGAACTGGAACAGCAAAGTGCCATTTTCCACCCGGATCAATACAGCAAAGCTCCTTTAGAAACTACTTACCGTCTTGAAAGACCGCGTCCAGAAGATTCCAAAAGCCCACACCTGACGAACTACTTAAAGTTCGCCGTCCCAAAAACTACCTCTGAGTTTGTGTGTAAACCACCTGGTCGAGAAGTAACAAAGATTTCACCCAAATGAGATAAAAAAAAAACCGGGCGATTGTTCGCGGTACAAGCATTCCAATTTTTGCATGGTTAAAGGTGGGAGAAATGTGCCCGCATCGCATTTAACCAGCTACCCTCCCCTCATATCTATCCCTAATAACATCAAACTCGCTTTCCTTTCAGGCTGGCCATCCACACAACTCCCATCGCCGAGCTGGTGTAAATTACGTGCACATATATTTGAATCGAGGTAGATGTGTGGCAGTGATCCGGGACCACTTATTCTTGTTCGATAGGCCACCAAAATATTGGTTTTCATATCGATTACGATAAGTATTATGTTCTCTACTTGTGTCGCGATGAATACAAAGTATGATTTTCTTGTTTTTTTCTTGCAATTCGTCAGGACAAGAGGTAAAATAGATGTACCTTTAGAGATTTTTAGTTGACGAAAATAGGACTGTGGAATTGTGCGGAATTCACGGTCCTTTTAGCGCACTGCTCAGTCTATCTTTCTGACTAAAAATCCTCTGATGGCAGAGATCACACCAGCGTTGGATGGACTGGAACGTAGTTAAAAACGGACCCCCCGCGTCTGCATACCTTTGTAAAAAGTGCTCGGTTGCAACTGCGATCGACAGGTTGTTGGGGGCGCTTGTGGTTCGAAAGACGGTACACCATCCGTGCCATGGGCATAGGTGGCGGTCTGTCTAGCATCCCACCGAAAGCTATCGGCCTTTCGGCTGACTGGCTCGACTTCGTCAAGCTTAGTTGTTTATCTGCACTCATGGTTAACTCAGCATGCTGTTCGATCCAGTTCAGCTGATCTGTCTGACTCACACTCCCATGATGAGCAGAAATATAGCTGACTCAGCCACACTGTTCCAATGTCACACCGACGTGACATGAGAATTGCATTCTATCTGTCACGCCCACATGGCCAAAGAGAGAGCAGAATAGACGGTGCGTTCGTGCACCCAGTGAGGAAAAATAATGTGTGAATTGGATGAATGGAAGGCTACTTTATCGACTCGAATGTTCTAGAGGCGCGCAAAGTAACACATCCGAGGTTCGGATTTGCACCTTAGGGCCAACGCTACGAGCATGTCTCTTCGGTGATTGGCTAGGGCTTAGTATTTATCCTTAGTTATGTTCATTGCTTGATAGGCCAACTGATTGATCTGTGATATTAGCGTAAACTGGCGACGGGGGTACAGTCGATTTTTTCACGCTAGAAGAAATCTACTAGTTAAAATTTATTCGCCTGTTTCGAAATGTAAGATCTAGAGTTTAACGATGCTTAGCAGCCCCGCGCAGGATTCTTGATAGCTAGAACGCGATGGCTTAATTCCAAGACCCCTGAGCTGTACTTTCCTTTAGCTTCAGAGAAGAACTTCGGATCTAGGCATGGCACGAAGTACCTAGCATACAACGGAGAGTAATTACTATGCAACGACCGAGGTCCACGTAACTCTCACGTTTAGGGGCTTATGACGAAAGAACACTTTAATTCACGGTTCCCATAACTTCCCATGCTTCTGTCTGTATTTTCATTGCACCCCTAATCACAAAGACTGTCACAGGGCTAATGGAGAATTAAGCATCTCAGGTTAAGCGGGATCACAATTACTCACCTTCCTTCTCCCCGCTGCTCAATCTGGTATTCCTCTGTTCTGAAGAGTAAGTATGTTTTCTCCTTCGGTTTAGCGCCCTTTGATAAGATGTGAGAATCAAAAGGCAGACAAAGAGTAACGAAGCTGAGGGTCACGGAGACTAGAACTGGTAAACGGGACGTCCGAGCGCTTGGGATCTCAGATCGCCACTAAAAAGTTCCCGCAGCGATCGACAGTTGTTCCCACCCTCTTCCAGACCTGGTAGACGGCATTCGATTATCTTTTTATTCGGTCAGAATGTTTATGATTTGAAACCTCGTCCTCAACTGGCCACCATCCGTTTCTTTCCAACCTGAAGTGGACTTATCTTAAACAAACGATAGGCGTTGTGGCCACTCGCCTGACATTGAGAGGGCGCCACTGTGAACCACAAACGCTTTCCTCAGCCGTCCATCTGGCACGTTCCCCATGTACACGTTGATTCTGTTCACGCGATGCATCTTCTTGACTGCCATTTGTAGATTAGCTGACTGCTGATCTGTCTGTTGAGCATGGCGACTGGCTTGAAGATATTTCGTCACCAACCGTGCAGAAATCAGTGCGCTCACCCAAGCACTGATGGTGTTCCCACGACATCCGCGGACAAATTACCCACCTCGGCGAACAAATGAAGCGCCAGCTGATCTTCAACCAACTGATGCACCCGAGCTAACCAAGACGTTACTACTATATACGTCAACTAGTATTTTCACCAGGTAAACATAGTCCAGATGTAACCGGTCTTCCGCCATCAATATGAGTCTGCAAGCACGTCCATCCAGGATATATTTGATTGTACTTATAAGCAGTGATGCCAGTGGTTAGTGTGTGGCCGGTTAGCCGAGCGTGAGCCGGCCACTGGATCGATTGGTGTGGATACTCTTGAATGTGCCCTGTATGGTAAGGTGAACGCTGCTGAAAAACAGTGGTAGATCGGGGGCGAATGAGTTGGAAAATTTAAACCCTCAAGACAAGTGAGGGCTAGGAACACAGAACAGGTCGATGGGTTCTAGAGTGTCCATCTTGTGATATCGCCGTCGCTTGCCTTGCCCTCCTGGCAGGTTCACTGAATCTTGTCTCCGTGGAGGTGGCATCCCGGCAAATCTACTTCTTGCATGTGGTAGACACAAACAATTGAGAACTGACATGATACTCTACTGATGGAGTGGGCACAAAATGTGAAGAACGATGACGGATTTGTCGAACTATATTGAAGTTACGGCAGAAGTTCTCTCCTACTTTGCGTTCCAGTGTGAAACTCGGCCAGTCTCCTGCTTTTACGTATTCTTGTTAGTGAGGCTGGAGTCGCAAAAGTCCCATCTACTCATTTGTTTACTTGTGCATACATAAACATTTGTTGTTTTTAATTTCACCAACATATACGGAACTCACTGTGGCCGATGAGCCATCTCAACCTCTACTGTTGTTCAAGAAGCAAGATTCTTTGATTTCTTGCTTGTCTGGTGACAAGTCCCGAGAATTTTGTGCCACTAGGCGTATAAATTTGAAACCCATTATGTTGTGCCTTGCTGTACGGTAATGCAAGTCTGTATCGGTCCCTTGGCTTCCTGCTCCACCCATTACAATATATCAAAAGGCATGGTAGCTCTACACAGCCCTTTATGGAGACAAAGAAAGATTATTACAACTGTATTTATAGGGTAGTCACAGATTGTCCCACAAGGTTGTGCCAGAATCTCCGTGAGGGGGCGAGAAGCGTCCAGTCAAGGATGCTCGACCCGGATTGGCTGGCATTCTGACCAGTCAGGGCATGCCTTCGTTTGGTCCGTGTCCTGCACGTGACACATCCGTCCAAATGATGTGATGTTCGGTTATCAGGGACGGCTGGCCTCCAAACACATTACTTATTATTTAACTAAGAGACATGGTGGTTTTGGTCAGATTACCTGCTTTCCTGAGTTTGACGAGTTTATACTGGAAAAAAGACTGAGATATTCAGAATGAAATGTGGGAATCACTCACTGAAAAACGAACTACCTGGGAGCTTTTGTGGATGGAAACGTCTGGGTCCATTGTCCGTCTGGCTAATTAGCATGAAAAATTTTCGGACGTTATCCGGTGGACCCTGTTTTGACATCAGTGATTCACGATTGACATGTCACAAGCAAGATAAGCTCATAGTGTTCGCTGATGCCTGAGAGAAGTGGAGAGAGGTGCTTACCAACGCATCACAGTTCATGAAGATATGGTTGTCCATCAGCTTATTACTTTCAAGGGTCAATTTTGTTTTCTTCAGTATATGTCCAAAAAGCCCGGCAAGGTTGAGCTAACAAACCCTGGGTTGTGTGTATTTGTTTGTTCCAATAAACTTGGATTCTGTTAGACGGAATTCCACACGGATACCGCTTCACCGCTCCCACTCAGGCGCTGCCAATGCCGAGAAGGCTATCCCGCACTAGATTGGTCAAAAGTTGGGGACTCTTGCCGGTCCGACATCAAGCCGAAAGCTGATTGGTCGAAAGTCTGAACCTAATAGACAATCATGAACCAGTATTGGCTGAACACCTGTTGTCAATAGTGCATCCAGAAGGCGTCAGAAATTGCAGGGTGTCGCCGCTAACACTGTGTATTTGACGCACTGAACCAGTGTTCCTGCTATCGTTTTGGGTGTCAGTATAACTTGTGCACCTTTGGTGGTTGTTTTGACGTGAACGCTAACTTGGAGAGCTCAGACCAAGAACTAAGTTGAAGAAAATACCGTTACTACGGATTCACTATCGGTTAAGGGGACATAGATTAGATGCTGAGAGACCATTTGAGTAGCCAGTGGATGGATGGCAGTTACATACAAATATCGAAAAGTACTGTGGACTCGTTTATCATTTACATGTCTAAATCCAAGTTTATTTGCCATTCAAGGTCGATTTATTCATAAAATTTATTTTCCAGCCTTGTGTTTCCCTTGAAGTTCTGTTTGCTGTCATACCGAAAAGTAGCCGCTGACGGAATACGGCTTCTAACAGCGAAAATGAAATTGACTGGTATTTCGCCCATCAGCCAGGGACCTCTTAAGGACCAGGTGACTAAAATCAAAGGCACCAACAATACTGGCCATTCGGCGTTTAAAAATGAACTACTTAATGGATTTACAGTAGCCAAAAATTCCCCTGCCAAACGCAGCGCACCCAAGGCGACTGAAACATGCCTGTTCCGTCGGCACGCACTGTCTTAGTAAGATTAGATATGAGACACGTGATTAAATGTGGTTGGTTAGGTTGAGTATTGAGCAATATGCTTCCGGTTCTACTTTTAGTTAACATAACTTCGCTTTTTACCACAGAAAGATCACTTACGGTTCAAAATTCGGATTGTAAGAAGGCGCAACTCTAAGCGCCTCTTGATGAGCTTTTAGCTGTATCAT